AGGAGAAAAACTTTTGAATTAAAACTGACGACTGATGCTCATGAAACTTGTCTGTAGGGTTCTGCTGACCTTGGGCAAATCATTAAAATACCAATCCTGGAAGATGCATCTGAGGGCGTTTTGCAGATGCTGAGGCCCGTGCTTTTTGTATTCCAGTTTCTCCATTCTAAGTGGACCGGCAGCAATCAAACTATCACAGGCATGTCAGGGTGCTCTTTTACACAAGCCTTTGAAGATAAAATGATTTCCACCTTCAAATGGACAGAGCCATGAACTGTAAACTGTTTCTCTAAGCTTTGTTTGCAACACTGAAAGAACCAAGGCCTTTAATAATGAAGACTCTAAGCAGTCCCATTTATTCTAGAAATCCATGTTTTGCTCATCCAAGTGGCTTTTTTTCAGGCTGCTTCACTTTGAAACACAGCACATCTGAAGGAAAATTGTATCGTGTAAACAAGCACTGCAGCCTGCCAATTACAAATCCAGTAATAGACATTTCCAGGTAGCAGAGGCTAAGGCATATATTAACCAGTTGGTATTAACTGCATGTAGTAGATGAGAAAAGCTGTTGTTTATTTAAATAATAATAATAAAAAAAATTCTCTAATGGGAGAGTTTTTCTTCTCCACAGTATATATACAATATAAAAAAAAAAAAAAAAATTGGTCCACTGTGCAGCAGTTTAATTTTAGCTCAAAGAGGATTATATGACCTACACTTCCATTTGATTTTTCACAATGTTTGCTGTGTCATATGGTTAACCTAGCAGGACCCGTTTGCAAACTGTCCTTTTAAAATGTGTAATGTAATATATGTAACTTCTTAAACATCTCAAGTTGTTTGTAATTTAGGCTTTGGAAACATCTCCCCACGCACACAAGGTGGAAAGATATTCTGTATCATCTATGCCTTATTGGGAATTCCACTGTTTGGTTTTCTGTTGGCTGGTGTTGGAGATCAACTAGGGACAATCTTTGGAAAAGGAATTGCCAAAGTAGAAGATACCTTTGTTGTGAGTATGCTGACTACCTCATTTGTTCTTCATGCTGCTCATTGTTCTGAAGTTAACAAGTGAAATGAAAACTCTGAAAAACAGGGTATAGCTCATCATTGTAACCAGATGTCTAGCAAAAGGTAGGAAGAACTTTGCAAAGTCTGAACATGTTACTGAACATTGTTAATTGAGAATTGGATGAAGCCCAACGTTTTCTACAGTAATTATGCTTGGGAAGAAGAACAAGATCCAAACCATTTTATTTCTGCTTTGCCCTTATACTCCTAAGCTTGCTGTGATGTTTACCTTTAAAGGTTGTCATATAGATTGTGGTAGGAAATCACTGACTCAGATGTGGAAGAGTGGAGCTATAGGGCTAATATGTGGAAATTATTGCTGCTGCTTTGTTTTTGTTCACGGAAGACCTTTGGTGTCTGAGGCTAAAATCACAAGCCTTAATAAAATCTCTACTCAGATGCCATCATACCAGAGGAAATGCTTACAGTCTGTAGGCATCTACATTTCCAGGTTTATGGGTCTGTAGGTCACTAGAGCTTTGGGCATTCACAAAAGCAGGACAACCTAAATGGTACAGAGCCTGTTGGTGCTTCCCTGACATTGATTTCCTCTTTGTGGTCTCCTCACTAGGCTGTAGGATGTTCTACTGTTTAAGGTATTTTCAGCCTCTTCTGCTGAACTGCTTAGCACAGCCTAGAGGTTCGTGCCCTTCATTTTCTTTACCTACTGATCTTTAATTATTCATGCAAAGTGGTACAGCTTCAATAGAGGAAGACACCTGTCAAACAGACCAGAAGCTTGTGCAGATGTTGATAAAGTTCAGCCATAGCCAGTCCTTAACAATCAAATGCTTTGAATTCTAGCAGAGGAACTTAATTTACTGAACTTACTCGCTGTTTCACACACAGACAAGCTTATTAAGGTTGTATTTTACTAATGCAGTTATTAAAAATGTATTTACTGAGATTTTTTTTTAAGCATAGAATAAATAGCATAATGAAACTTAATAAAATTATTTAGGTGTTTTACTAACCTTTAATAATGTTGTAGGTTTAACTATTACCTAATGTTCAAAACATGTATGAAATGCTATTTGTCTTTTGATATGTAGAATATGTCGTATCCAGTGAATACTTAGTATGCAGTCTGACTTTGTAGCTGTTTGCATTAGCACTGCAAGTGTTAGAAGGATTGTTTTTCTGCAACAAGCCCTAATCTTTTCTCTATAGGAAGGGTCTGTGATGGCTTTATTTTTGAAGCAAAGCAAACTGGGGCTGTGCTTAGTAGTCCTATTGTACTACATAAATACAAGCTTGAAAGATTTTTAAGAGACGGCAGGTATTTTTGACTTTGAAACATCAGCTCAAGTCCAGACAAGTTACTGGTGAATAACACCGATTTCTATTGAGATTTGCCTAATAAAAGGCAAGAACACTCCAAAAGAACATTTTGTTTTTATACTTTGTGGGTTTTATCACTGAAAAAGTACAGAAGATTTCAGACCAAATTGTGTGTGTCTCAGCCTGTTGCTCATAGGAATAATGGTTTTCCTTTTTTTGTAATGGTTGTATCCCTACAACAAGAATGCCCCAGCATAAAAAACAGCATCTTGCCCTCTTTTGTCAATCTCTGAATGAAAACACTGATCTATACATTGTAGTCTGGAACACTCCCTTGTTCTGTTTACTACTTCTCCAAAAGAAGAACTGGGAGACACTGACGGACCAGAGCAGGGAATTTCTTGTTGCCATAACCAAAGCTACTATTGAGATTTGCGTTACAAAAGCTGGACCTTGGTTGTACTGACGGTAAAACATAGTTTCCATTGGCACTAAACTTAAATACAAGAAAACACGTATTGTGAACAGTCTGACTTCATTTTTGGTCTCCTTTTGTGAAAGTTTTCAGTTTTGTGCAATCCCTTGCTAATTTTAAGTTGAACCAAATTCTTCAGATGGATGGAAAACTGTACTGAGAGGAAAATTGTCAAACTGGCAGGGCATGTCAAATACGACTCTGCAGTGGTCTGTTCTAGCTTTGGTACTGTTAAATTTCATTAATAGTTTACACAACAGATAAAGGACTTTGTTCGTTAAATCTACAGATTATCTCAAGATGGGGAGAACTAAAAGCTGGAGGACAGAATTAGAATTCAAAATGATCTTGAAAATTTTGAGAATCAGTCTGAATATATAGGATTCAAAAGGATAGGGAATTTTAAGAATCAGCATATAGGATTCAATTCAGGAAGGACAAATTCAAAGTACTCTTTGAAGGAATAATAAAATATGCAATTACATGTCAGGAAACAGTTGTCTAGGTGCAGAAATATTCTGAGGACTCCAGGGGCTCATAAGATAACATGGGTTAATGTCATCCTGCTATGAAAAAGCATACATCATAGTTAGAAGTATAAATAGCAGTGTAAATAGATCAATAAAGCATAAGAAAGGATCCTTCCACTCCATTTTGTTGTATTTTTTTATACCTAGTTTTGAGTACAACACCTAATGAAACGTGGGTTAGTTGGTTGGAGCCAACGGGTGAAGAAAGACTGAAATAAATGAATTTATTTGGTCTAAAGAATATATGACTGAAAGAAAATACCTGTAAAAGTTTGCTGGAGAGAGCAAAGTAGCAATTTCTTTGTTTGCCTTGAATAAGACCATAAATAATAAACTTAAACTGAAGGAGATGAGATGCAAGTTAAGCATTAAGAAAACTTTCTGATGACAAGAACAGTTAAGCATGATCACATATTGCCTGGCCAGTAGTATATCTGCAGTGCCTTAGTTGGGTTGTTTTTGTCTTGGGGCAGGTTTGGAAGAGGTGGCATCTCCCTTCCAGCTCTATTTTCTGTGGTTCTGTTTAGCTAGTTACTTGATTAGAGAGAACTGTATGGTTAAAATTCACCTTTTTTATTCAGTTATTTGTGGATGCACAAAAGTAGAGACATTGCAGGTGCAAGCACTACTTGAAGCTTGCTCAGATATGCAGTCCCCACTCAAAATTCTAGCATGATCAGCTGTTAATATTAATGAATGCTACACATGCCACTCGCCGAGATCACAAACCTGGCCACAATGAAGAGTCCAGCCCTGCTTTGCATTTCCTGCTAGGAAATGTTTCCTAGGGTAGTCATGTTTGCTTTGAAAAGCCTTTCAAAATAAAACCCTGCTTTGATTTTCCTGTTTGAGAATTATAATGCACTGTCTCCTTGAGCAGCTTAGGGCTCACTGTGGGTGATAGGTACTTATGTGTGGTGCAGTTTTATTAACGATGGGTTTCCTCTCTTTCCCCTTCCCTTTCCAGAAATGGAATGTGAGTCAGACAAAGATTCGCATAATTTCAACAATAATATTCATACTGTTTGGCTGCGTGCTGTTTGTTGCTCTTCCTGCAGTTATATTCAAGCACATAGAAGGCTGGAGCACACTAGATGCAATTTACTTTGTGGTTATCACTTTAACTACCATTGGATTTGGTGACTATGTTGCAGGTAAGATTTTTCTCCTAACTCTTTATCTTATAATATTTTGCACAGTGATATATGTTCTGCGTTTCTGTATTATTTTGGGACAGACACATCTCTGTGGTGCCTCTTTCGTAGTTTTACTCTTTGTCATTCTTGTGTCAGTGCACATGAGGGGGCCTGCCCTCATCTTGGATCATGTGGCAGGCTAGAGACAGGAGGTGGGACAGTGAAATGCATGGTGCCTGTCCCTGCATACTCCATTTTTTCTTCTCCTGTACTGTTAAAAGATGCTTTTCTTAATTTTTAGGTAGATTTTTTTGTTCTTACAGATTGAGGGAAGTGCAAGAATTAATAAGGTATTTTAGTCTAATGAATATGTTGTCTTTTTTTTTTTTTTTAGCTGGAGTTGCTTAAAATGTCTCACCCTGTGAAGTTATATGACAGTTTTTGTGTGCTTCTCTTACTTTCAAAGTGTTGCTCCAGAGCTCTGTTTCTGCCATTGAGATGCCTCTGTTGCTGTTGGATGCTGCTTCTGTGCTTTATTTCTCTGGTTTGCTATGTATGCATTTGTCCATGTGTGTTTTGTAATGTAAGGAGAAGATTTAGCACAACCCATAGGTAACGCTTCCCAACCTTTAGGGTTCTGTTAACCCAGATTGAATTGGTTGTGAATAACTTTGACAAACTGAGCTAGAAAAAAGCTTGGGCCAGTTCTTTGCATCAACTACTTTCTTGAAAAGGTGTTAGACCACTTCTCAGAATAGGATTGAGTAATTATATCTTGTCTGTGTTGAGGAAGTGTGTTGGTCTGAGTCAGTGATGTGTTGAGGTGAGGATTAGAAATTCCGAGCTTTGTGCTCTGAGTCCGAGACTTGCTTCCTTCAGCCTGATCTCATGCTTTTCCTGATGCAGCACCATCATGTCCGTCTTTCATGAGATGCCTCTCTCCCACTCCTGAACTCTGTGCAAGGCAGAGGTAGCTGAGAAAGGTGGCGGAGAAGGACAGTAGTGCTGGGCTGCTGTCACTGAGCCACCCTGCTGAAGGGAAGTGTTTCTAGCAGACATCCATGTGTCGTGGGCTCCTCCCGTGTCCCATGTGTGGTCACGGCTGTTGCACGAGTCATAGTGCACCAAGGTGAGGGTCTCAGGTTGGGTAGCTCCTCCTAGTGACTTGCTGGCCTGCCTGAAGTTTGCCTTGATGGCAGGAATGTGACTGGTCTTGTTGCTGGCAAAAGTTTTTCGGGTTGGTGAAGTCCCACAGAGACCTCTGAAGTGTCTGAACTGTTTGGCATATTCATAAATGGTCTGGGTAAAATCGGGAGAAACTTAGTTAGTGTTGAAGATCCTAAGTTATGCAAGCTGTTTAAAAACAAAAGACCACATGGGAAGCTGCCAAAGATTCTTATAAATTATAGAACTGGGCTGTAAAATGGCAAATTAAATTTATTTGGATGCTCACATTTTGTTTTTTGATGTTTCTATATTTCTTTGAATTTGTCTCACGGATTTCTTTTCCCTTTTCCTTTCTCATATCGTTTTTCTTATTTCCCTTTTGTCTTCAGGAATTTGTGATTCTGGTCAGATTCTAACTAGCACCAAATACAAAATTTATGCTGTTTCCAAGCCAAGAGTCTGGGTGTTTTAGACTTTCATTCCTGAGGGGTACATGTATGTCAGGGAATAAAAATCATAGTGTATAAAGGCCTGGTTATATTTACTGTAAAGCATTATGGGAAATGGCCCACTTAGTTCTAACTAGAACACTGAGTACATTCATCATTACTCTCATTATAAATTTCCACGGATTTTTCTATTTGTAGACCACTTGATATCATAATTTGTTCCTACATCATGTCATTTTTTTATTTTACCAGGAAACACTTTTTCTTTCTACTGAATGTCCTTGAATTATATTGTTCTACAGCTTATGGCCTTTTATGATGCACTTAATATATTTTTTTTTTTTATTTTAAAGTTCCACTGTAAATGCATGATGTCAATGTCATGAATGTTTTCTATTTTCTTTTAGAGTAACATGCACAAGACTTGGATTTGTACTGTAATATATTCTTGACTTAAAGTTTCAGTGTGTGGTAATTGGATTTGTACTTGCAGAGATGCTGCTCAAGAGAACAGGGTTAGATGACTATCTCCATCATAACTGGGAGGTTAACGTTGCCACTGGACTGTATTTTGTCAGAGATGAAGTTGACAATATTATCATCTGTGTGTGGACTAACATAGTTTATGGCAGATGACTTGAAGGATTTTTCAAAAAAGTCCATTTGTTTTGTTGTCATTCCAGTACATAATTGTCTAGTTAAATAAAAATTCTGAAAAATAGGTAAGGTATTCATTGACTGTGCTTTGCATTGTGGAAATTTACAGTCCTTGCCGTGCATAAATACTAAGCTATTTGAAGAAAACTGTCATTTCAAGTTCTCAACAATGCTGATAAAATTTGCCTTAAGTGCTAGGCTTCCTTATTAATTTTGAGGACATACGCGGAATCTTTTGCACGCTAACAAATTAGTAAGTTGTCTTTATGATTTTTTTTTTTGTTTGCTCATTTTTCTTATAGGTAGGTCATAACTACCATGCAGACACTAAGGGCCATTGATATTTTTGTGGTAAGATTCATCTAGAACACTCATGAAGTTTAGAAAAACTGAGTGCCATAAACAGAGGCAAAACAAGCATGTAGAGTTAAGGCATGTAATACTGTATAAGGCTGTAGGGGAGGCTGTCATGATAGGCTACGGGTATTGCATCTGAAATTGTGGCTCTAGAGCATGGCGTTCTTGGTTCTGGTTTGTCACGGTGTGAGGCATGCAGCAGGCAGAATGATGCTTCAGTCCACTTAATGCCTGAAGGGCAATGCATTTGGAAAAAACTCACGCTGGCATTAATTTATTCCTTTTTCTGATTCATTTTTCCTGGCCAGAAAGGCATGTGTCGTGGTTTAGCATTATTAGTAAATAATACTTAGAGTGAAAATTACCTTCTTCCACTCAGAATGATAGTCAAACCTAAAGCAGAGAGGTGGGCAGTGATACTCCAATTTGCAATTACAGTGAAGTCTTTTAGCAATAAAAATAAAATTGGCAATTCTTGTAGCATATTGGCAGTTGATGGGTTATTTCATGATTATATGTCAGTTTTGGCTCAAAGTTCCCTCAAAAGTCAAAAATTCCTACATATCTGAAAACTTCCAAATATTCTGGTAATTTTTTTTCTGGGAACTGTCATACCAGAGGAAAAAACCATAAGTTTTGCAAACCCTATATACAAATATCATGGTAGTGATAACATGTGTTGGGGTTAAAAGAAACATTTCTGTCATTTTTCACTGACATGGAACTTGCTGCTTTCTGGCACCACTGCAGGTAAGAGCTGAAGAGAAACCCTGAAGAACTTCTAAAGGAGACAGTGTTTCTGAATAGCTGTTCCAAAAGGGAGCCAACAGAAGAACTTGGGATTTCGGAATGTAATAGTGCTAAAGGCTGTAGGGCAGGTTGTCATATTAGAAATTCTTGTAGAGTTCTCCAGAACTTTTCTACAAGTTTCTTCTCATTTGTACTGGAGACCAGGTACTCTGTTCCCAGAAACTAGAATGCCAAAACATCCCCTTTTGTACTCAGAATCTAGGTTGATATTTGGAGCCTATGGAAATTTCGGCTGCAGTTTCCACCAGCAAGAGAAGCCTTAAGGCAAATATAAAAGACTGATCTTTTTTTTTTTTTCTTGTTTTCAAGAGAAACCATTAACTTTAATATGACAGAAGAGAAGCCAGCTAATATTATGAATATTCTGTGAAAGAGAAAAGAAAGATCTTTTCATGTCAAATATGTCATTTTTTAGTATAATGAAAGATATTATTTGGGTACTAAAGTTATCACTGAGGTACGTGTGTGTATATATATCTGTATAACATGACAATATAGAGTTCATATGTGCAGATAAATCCTTTAACTGCAGTGCAGATTGGAAGGTATAGTCAAATATTTCTAAGGGAGTTAATCTAACAGGTTTCAAATCTAAATTAGATGAGATGTCCAAAACTTGACTGAATTAAGTAGAGGTCAGAAATATAAATAACACATCAGTAGTCTGTTTCACAGTGGGGCGTAATGATGATATAAGGTTACACTGCAATCAGTACAACAGATCACAGAATTTTACAAGTCTCACTTTAAAAAGGCAAATGCATTCTAACTCCTTTTGTCTTTTTTTTTTTTTTTTTCATTGTTTGAGCTCTGATTTTGAGCTTCTTTCTTCTTTACTGTTTTGGTCTGTAATTGAATTTGGAGTATTGCCACTGTAATACAGATATCTGGGGCTGCACTGTATTGCTTGGCCTGAGACCCAGTTTGTAGAGTACTGAGATATTTTAGTCTCATTTAACATCACTGAACTAGAACGCTTCACCTGGTGGTCATAGCAGCCCAGTTGGTCTGCTCTCACTATGTGATATTACTTACCTGGCAGAAAGACCTCAACCGAAGGAAATGGCTGTTGTGCCAAGCAATGGGGTGTGTGTCAAGCATCCCATAAGAGCTGTGTGTTCTCCTACTGGATTTGTGTCTTTTTTTGGCATTTGGAAGTGCTCTTTGCCACCTCAGGACTTCACATCCATACTAGGGGCTGTCTGGGGTAAACCATGCAGCCTGCTTTAAGCTTAAGACAGCGTGTCGTGTCTTGCTCAATTTCTGTATAGGACAGCACATAAGGAGTGTTTTATAGCTGTGCTTTGTATTCTGAAGTAGCTCTCCATTTTCCACTGAGTGGCATAAGGTAACTCATATGGCCTGCTTACATTCTGTCTTGCAGACAGTGTTATCTTGTCCCAAACATGCTGCTTTTCCACATCTCTGCGTAAGCTAGCCTTTCTCTGTCCCTTTTTGCAGTCCTCGGGGGTAGTTCTTTTCAAGCTGCAGGGCTGAACCTCCGTATTTCTTTGGAGTGGGACAAATGACATTTCTAGAGTAAGCCTGTTGGCCAGGTTTGTCACAACGGGGATGATGGACAGCTACTCGTTATTCTGCAATTAAAACTGTGTTTGGATTTAATCGCGTTTCTATACCCAGAATAATTTGTACTGCTGACAAAAAATAGTAAAGACAGTTCCTGGTTTGAAGGGCTGACTTTTGAATAACTCAGAAATTTGTGCTGGTATGGAATTAAGATACTCAACGCAAATAACACTTTCTATTCTCTGCTTCTACTTTTGAAGCAAAAATGCAAACAAAACTAGACAACTTTACAGAAACAATTTTGTGCTTCTACTTTGAGTCAGCTGTAGAAAGAATGGGGAAAAGAGTGGCAACAATGAAGAAAATTATTTACTTAATGTAATTGTTTTACATAAAGAAAGAAATAAAAAATAAAATACTTGAAAGCCTGATCCCTTACCTGAGAACCAGAATCTGTCCTAATGCACCCCTGAAATCTCTGATGCCATCCTTCACTAAAACACAGAGCTTTTCACCTGAGTAAAGAATATGTGTTTGGGCCATAAAACAACCTATGCCTTCCAAAGTGTTGAAAATCGCAAATGATTTAGAAGTTGTTTGACAGATGTAAGAATGGTGGCAGCAGCAGTACAATAGCCTGTGATGAAGATGGATGGAAAAACTCTTTGATTTCTCATAGATTTCAAGGGACTTTGGATCAAATCTTTGCCAAGAAACATCTTGGCAATAAACTGTGGCTGCTCTTGGTAAAAGATTATGGCAGTGAGACTTCTAGTTAAAGAGTAAGCACCCTCCACTTGGGAGATATATTTCTTCTTCATTGTAGTTGTCACCTATTTCAGGTAGAGGTCAAACAAAGTTGGAAAAAAGTTTCATCCCTTGGCCTACAAAATTGGTTTTGCCAAACAAACAACAAAATTCAGCTTCTGCCTTCTCAGCATTTTGCTTCCTAAAGGGCTGTATAAAATAATCTGCTTTGCAAAAGAAAGATGATAGTGTTATTGAGTAAAAATTATGCTATGAAAAATCCATGCATGTGTGTCATGTTGATATGCTTTTCTACAATGTTACCAGTAAAATGATTAAATGAATTCTCATACACTTCAGTACAAATGCATTTACCTATACATATTCATACCCAAATACATTCATACCTGTTTATGTGAGTTGTAAATCAGTAGTTAATGAATTCCATTTACTTTAAATTCAGTACAGTTGACTTTTGATAATGTTTTCCTACTAGTGAAACCCTATTTAATGGTATTCCCAGGTAACTGCATTATAGCACTCTGATGTTTAAGCATCACAGGAGACAGTAGTTATCTCAGGACAAACATCTTTAGGTATGTCTCTCTCTCCCTGATATTCCATTAAATTTGAGACCTCACCTGAAGAGTCCTTGAAATTCAGAAACTCAATAGCTAATAAAGATTTTAGCTGTTAAGCCTTTTCCTAGAGGGTTGTTAACTGTCCCTTTCTAACTTTGGGAAAGCTGAACTCCTTTGGGCATGGTTAGATGGAGCCATCTCCTGGCCAGACAGTAAAGAAAACTCTTGATTGAATATGAATGTGTCCTAACTCCTGCCCTGGTAATTAACATTACTGTAAACAAATTAGGTATAAACTGTGAAGGAAATGCTCCCTGCAGACTGGCAGGGTTAGGTTGCAGTTTATAAACTTAACACACCAAAAATTAGAAACTAGCTGAGTGGGTGCTTTATGTGATACTTTCTTGTGCATTGTATGAAGAGCTGGAGAAGAAGGCGAACCACTGAGTATGGTTCATTACTAGCTCCTGATAGAGCAAAGGCATGGTGGTAATCAACCATTTTTTGAATGAAAACAAATTTTGGGTGAATCATCCCTAAAATCCTGTTTTACTGGATTGACATGACCTGGATGATGTTAACAAATCACTTCATTTCTGATTTTTTTTTTTTTTTTCTTGGGCTGTGACAATCTCAACCTTTTGGTGGTTGGCTATCTTCTCTTCTAGACAGAGCCCTGTCTTCTACCTCACTTGTGACTGTGCTGGTGTCAAAGTATATCCACTTTTGCTATGTGGATTCATCTCTTGGATAGTTGAGTAAACCACTATAGCTCAATGGATTTTATTAATGAAAAGGCTTATTGACATGAGAATAACAGAATTGCTGTCTATGAGGGCTTCCATACAAAGATAACCATTAGTAAAATTCTTTGTTATTTGCATGTAATCTCTGTGATGATTAGATAGTAACAGCTAGTAAAAAAACATTACTCTTTGTGAGAGTTAATCTTGTTACTGTAACAAGGTGCTTGATATTTTGGGGCCAATTTTCCTTTGACTGTTTCAGTACAGGATGCAGACACATAAAGCAACATATTATGTACCCATACAGACTACTTTAATGTGCCTGAAAAGGTTTTACTGTAGAGTCTTTTCAATTGTGGGCAGATACGCACATCACACTTCTACTTGCAGCTACCCAAACTAGAAGCCTGATTTTATATGTCATAACACAGCTGAATTGCAAGTTTAAGGCTTCTGTTTTATTATACTGCAAGATGTGAAATGTGAGTTATTTTGTGTTGTCAAGAGCTCTGGATGAACATAACTTTTTTGTGTGTGTGTGGGTGTGTAAATAAGGCATCTGTTCTCTATGGCTGTATTGTACCTGAAAGCTCCACTACAGACGTCTCTGAAATTTATCCTTTTTTACTTTAACACTGGAAGGAAGGAAATGACTGGTGCTTATGGCAGTGGGATTCAAAAAAGCTGCCTTCATGTGGCATCTATTTTATCCACCTCTTTTTGAGTATTATCAGTTCAGCTCAAGTCCCTGCACCCTGGTTACCTCCTCTGCAAAATGGAGATGATAATGTTTGCCTACCCAGCAGGGACACTTGTTAATACAGGTGCTATTCTTCTTTACTCTGAGGCTAAAGGGTTCATGTAAGTATTGAGATGTGTTTTTAAAGTCCTTGCAAAATCAGATTTCTCAAGATATGAGCACATTATGTATTCCAGAGCAATACTTAAAATTTGGTACAGCGTTCTTATTTGGAGCAGGTGAGAAGTCCTTTCATTCCAGCTGTCATCAATGCCCTCTGCCTTAAACTGAATCGGCTTCTGATATATCATTATTTATCTGTGTTCATTTTTTAGTTACTATGAATGATTAGCAATCATTATCTGAAGTTTGCATACTCCAAATTGTGTTTTCAAGAGTGGATGAATTTAGATCATTGTTTATTCAAATTCAACAAAATGTTTTGCTATGAATTTTTGCATGGGTAAGAAAATAGAAGAAGTTGTAAGACATATAACTGGGTTTTTTTTAGGAAAAGACTTAATTTAAAAACAGTTTTGCACCTATAACTATTAAGTCTTTAATTTTAACTGTGTTGTTTTTCAGGGGGATCAGATATTGAGTACCTAGATTTTTATAAGCCAGTGGTGTGGTTCTGGATCCTTGTTGGGCTCGCTTACTTTGCAGCTGTCCTCAGCATGATTGGAGACTGGCTAAGAGTCATATCAAAAAAGACAAAGGAAGAGGTAAGAACATTTTGAAAGGGGAAGAAATACTGCTTTTTTAAAAACTTTGATTAGAAATCAGGTGAGCTTATAGTTGCTTTTGCTCTTAGGGCATAGGTCAAAGCTGTTTATGTATGAAGTATGTGGTGCAGCTCAAACTGCAGCAAACTTTGTAGCAGTCTAGTCAAACATATAGTGATTTTTACATGGCTGCATATAAAATTTGATTAAATGCATTGTTAAATTAACTGTGTATGCACAATTACAACTGACTTACAGGAAAAAATTCTCTAAAAGGATTATTCTAGACAGCAGAATGTAGTCCTTAATTTTTGAGGCAAAAATCATTCTGCTTTGATTGTTTCTATATGGGATGCAGGTATGTAAAGAAAAATACTAAATCACAAAATAGTTGTATTCAAGATACTTTTCATCATTAAGTTTCATTAATCATTCATTAATTAAGTTTCATTCATCATTAATGTTTTATATCATGCAAGATATTGGAATGAATTATTTAAATATGCCTGGGTCTATTTTACCACAATATCTTCAGCGGCATGCCTAGTTATTTGTAGTCAGGTGCCTTGCTTTCAGTTCAAATATATTTTTACTTGTAAACATGTATTTATCATTCCAATGATGCTACAACAATTTACTTTAAACTTTGTCATATAAGAAAATGTCCTGGTTTTGCAAATGTTAGAGGATAAATAAAATTTCCTTTGATTGCAGCTAGCACAGTTCAGGTTTTACCAGAAGTTTGAGAAATAAATTAATTTTCTTTTAAGCAACATATTATTTCCCTCTGATTTAACTTAAGTTCATCTGTATGCATCAGTTCATTTGTGTTACTCAAATATAAAAACTCTAATTTCTTTTTGATGGAATGAACATGTAGGTTACTGTGCAGTGGCCTACTATTTAGATTGTTTCAGATTGTTTTCCTAGCTGTAGGGCCCGGCATCAATGCCCAGATGTAATTCTGGCAATCCTTGAGTTCCCAAAGACCTTGCTATAGAGGGTAGCTTACCCCTATACACCTTCTCTCATTACAGACCCTCAGGGTCCCCGCTGCTTTCTGACCAAAGGGCAGCAGTGATGGTGACAGCAGGCAGGAGGATGTGAGCTGGGCGCTTGGGCAAGATTAAGCCTCGCTTTGTGAGGCATGTGGGATGGGCAGCCCTCTTTCATTGCCCTTGCTATGCTCATAGCTCTTTTTAGTTGGAGACAGCATTGCATGTGGCAGGTCTGTTGTAAGTACACTTCTACCAGGCATTTCATAAACACTTAGCTCTGAAGCAGAGGACAGTATTTATTTGATCAGTTTCATTTACAGAGTATCACCTTCTGCCCCTGTGCTGTAAATCTGAAAGGATATTTATAACTTTCCTTACACAACGAGCTTTCCTAGTGTTCCTTCACAGATACGGGGCAGCAGGTATCATGCAAGTGTTCCCATCTGCAAGTTCAACAGTTTGCAGGATCACCATTTGGTTTTCTGGAAAAGCACTGAGGGCGTCTTTAACACCCAACCTGCACAATTTACACTGGCTGCAAGGAAACCAATAGATCACTTCAAATGCCATTAACCTGCATGTTTTTTCTTCATTATTTTGAACTTCAGAATTAGGTTGATCTAGCCCATTTTTCCCTCTGCACTAGGAAGAAGTAAGAGCTGGGCAAGCACATGTGGTGTTTCCCCTGTGCACTCTCCTAGTGTCTAACTGTTCTTAGCGTGGGGCGTTTCCTGAACTGCATTTAATTTCCCTGGGTTACTTGTTTCTGGATTCTTGAAAAAATGTGATATGACAGAGGCACTATGATTTGGGACTATGCAAAAATACCTTGTTCAAGCTTGGTTTTGCCGCATTTCCTCAGACACTGGTGACATAGTTTAGTTCTTCACACTACTTCCTAGAATTAATCAGGTCTTTAACCTCACTTTTCTCATACTCTTCTCTCTTATCCAGACAGTAAGATCTCTGGATAAGATGCTGTCTTGAATATATAGTTATACATAGCACACTGAGGGTTTAATCTTGTTTAGAGTGTCTCCTTATCCATATTATTATAATGATGATTATATACTAAGAATGTTTGAATTTTATAATATCTTGTTTTTATTTTATACTGAAGCTATTTCAATATAGACTGACTTTGAAAAAGATTTAAAGAAACATGAATTGAACCAACTCATGGATTCCTTTAACACATTAAATACATTCCTATTTTTATCAAGTAAAACTCCATTTGCCAGGTTATGCAGCACAGTGCTATGCCAAACTTTCTTTTCTCAGGCACCAGGAATGTATGCCCTATTTCGTCTTTCCATTCCTTCTCACCTTTGTAGCCTAAACAAGCATATTCATTTTGTCTACAGAAAGGAAAGCCTCATTCTTCAGATATATCCAAATTCTCTTGGCCGATGCAGGTATTCAGGATTTTGCTGTATACAAGTGTCTCGTGTGTTAGGTTTGATTAAAGACAGACATAACATAATTGGTACCATTTGTTCAATTAATCATATCTCTGATGTTCAGAAATCTCCCCCCTCCCCCTTCTTAACCCATTGCTCGGGCATGTCTGAGAATTTGTAACAGAAAGGAAATGTTTTAGCAGTTTAAAAAAAAGCTACAGTTTTAAAAATGAGAGACCAGTTTGAGAATTGAATTATGGCATAGCACAAGTTGTGTGCTAGTTAGAAAATACAAAAAAATTATTTCTGTATTCTATCCTAATGATACTTTGTGGGAAGAAAGTTACATAAATGTATTACATTTTTTTATAAGATTGGCTGTGTTTGAACAGAAGTGTTGTACAAATATTCACTGTAAAGATAGCATTTTATGACAAAAACTGCTGTTCTTAGCTAATCCTTACTATCTGCCTAGGAAAACTTGAGTGAGGAAACTGAGGGAGTTTAGTGGAAATGTAGTCATCAAGTTTCCTCTATGCCAGCAGAAGCCAGAGGAGACTCTGAATTTCTTGCATTGTCTGTTTTTTCAGTTAAACCTAAATTTATGATGGTTTGTTCCAGCTTCTACGGATGCAGATTATAGCAGAGGAACCTATCTAGAGTTCAAATAGTAGAAATGACTGCAATGGAAAATCCTATTTCTAAGTATGTTTTTTAACTGTCTTTTAAGGAAACATTCTGTCAGTCCTTGGGGAAATAGCTCATTATACCTAAAGGTAGACTTTGAAATTAGAAACCGTTATACACTGAAATCTACTGAGAGACAGAGACTATGATAAAATCTACAGGTCCATGATTAATGCACTCGGAAAACTGAAACAGTTTAATATATTTCCTAGCCTTCACGAATCTTACTCACTATGGGTATCAACACCTACAAGTAAACAAAATTTTGTGTAGGATTTGTATCATAACTTTCATGAAAAAAATAGCAGTAGCCTACCATGTTTTAGATGAAGGAGGGAGCAGAGCATTCAATAGTGATTAGTTGTGTTTGTTTCAGCGATTTAAGACCGAGGGCTGATAGCAGCCAAATTTAGTGAATTGTACCAGAGTCCAGGATGAAGGCAGAGGGGTTGCAAGTGTTGAAAAGCCCCTCTCTTTACTTCCCCTCAACAACTAAAACTATATATCAGTCAAGGTATTTGATATCTCTTTTGATAGGCAGCCATAATAATCTCCTTTTTTGTCTTTTCCTGTAGTCTAAAGTAAAAAATAGATTATCATAGCCTATTTAGAGTGTATATTGTGAAAGGAACCTCCATATTCCAGGAAGTGGGCATGCTGATAATGAGTATCACCTAATATCTGTAGTCCTGTTGACATTTTTCTTAATGCAGTTGCATTGTTCTTAAAAGCAGTTTACATGAGACTTCGCATTAATAATGCATTTCACTGTTTCAACAAAACAGTGAAAACATCTATTTTTTTTCAGGATACTACCGGGAAAGTTTGCCATACACAAGTAGAACGGAGACAAAAAAATCTGATCAGATATGCACTGATCCACAATAATGCTGTATTTTGATATTAAAATCCAGATAACCAGAATGCCTGTCATTTGCTCAGGTGGCTTTTGCCTCCTGAAATACTCTTGAGAGTTTTGAAGGCATCAAATGGGGAGGGAAGTGAAAGACAAGTAGAGACAGAAGTGGGAGTTTTAGAAGGATAGATCTGCTGCTGGAAGGAGTTCATACAGTAAGATAGATGAAGTGTCAGAAAGTCACTGGAACATGCTGTGTGCTGTAATCTTAAGTAGGCGATCTGTCTCTGAAGTTCAGCTTCAGCTGTACTAGCTTGCCTTAAACTCCCTCGTCTTCATTATTCTCTATACTCTGATTACTCAGAGCACTTTTAAAGTCTTCTGATTTTAGTCTCTTTGAAAGGTAAAATTTCAGC